GCGACCATAAAGCATGGGGGGCAGTGGGATATGATGGCTAATTTATTTTCTTTAAAGGGCGCAACATTCGAGAGGCTGATTATGTGCTTTGTCAACATGCTTTCCCCCATGTGTATGAGAAACTAGTCGAAAACAACGCTGAGCTATACTCTATGACGGAAATGATCAAGGAGAAGTTCCTTTTCAAGAATGTTTCTTTCGCCCGATATGCTACAGATGTGACCTTCCAAATGTGTAATCGACGTAGTGGAAACATGCAGGAAGGGAAAAAATATTTCTCCGGGCAGCACAACCTCTACGGCTACAAGATTGAGGTACCAGTACTCCCAAATGGGCTAGCTCTCGGGTGCACAGAGCATTTCCCAGGGTCAGTTTCTGACCTATAGATATTCAAGGAAAACAAAGAATTTCATAAGGCGAATTTGAAAAAGAGGAGAAGTGAGAGGGAGTTGACGGATCTAGGATTGATGGCAGGCGATTATCCCACACAGTGGGCACAGTTGGCTGATAAGGGGTACCAAGGCGGGGCAGAGATTGTTCGCCTCATCAGCCGCAAGAAAAAATTACCGAATGCTTGTCTTTCTGTAGAAGACGAGCGGTTCAATAGGAAAATTTCATCTGATACGATAATAGTTGAAAACTACTTTGGTACGAAGTGTGAATTGTGAAATGTTGTGTCTAGCAAATGGAAGTGGGCGGAGAGAAGCTACCATACTGTTTTTCGATTCTGCGCTGCGTTAACTAACCTCCATATTAATTCGCATCCTCTGCGCCAAGAAGACCTTGAACGCTATCAACGTATCAAGAACCGCCAGACACATGTAGTATAAACACCCCCAACGGAGAAGGGTGTATACTCAGTTCTTGCGGAGACCCCGATCGGCGGGAAGACGGGAAGCAACCCCAGCTAACGGAACCGGGCGAGCCCGGGGTAGCAGTGGTAGAGCGGGTACGGTCGGGGACGCGCGCACGCGCGGGCCGATCTACGCCTCGACGCCCCGGCGCAGCGCTGGGTGACGTACCAGCGCTGACGGGCGGAGGCGGATCTAGGCTCGCTCGCGTGCTTGCGCGTCCCCTGCCCGCTCGGTTTCTAACTAGATACGGGCTAGTGGGGACCCGTTCTAGAATAAGCGGGGCGAGGTTGACCAAAGGCGTAGGTTCTGGACAAGCTCGTGCTTGTCCTCTCCCCTCCGCCGTCGGTCCGCTCATATTTAATATACAAACCTCTATAATAACACTACAGTACCGAGGTACTGTAGTGGTCTACTGTAGTGCAGGTCGGCCTGCACTGTACGGTGTCAGCATCGGTGCTGACAGTACACGTGGTACCCGTGTGTGCGCGCTTCGTACGCGCCGGGTACACGTATGCACGTGTGATGTGGGGCACACGTGGACACGCTCGGTGGTACTGTAGAGCGTCGGGCTCTACAGTAACTAAATCAATCGTGATCTAATCTAAAGAGAGTGCCCCAGGGGGGGTTATGCTACAACACACATTAGTGTGCAGCATGTCGAGCGTCGGCAACAGTCCCAGGATCGCTATCGGCGTAAGCGCGCAAGGAGGATGTCATTGCAGATGCACAACACCAGAGTCCCGGATCGCGACCCGGATGCAGACATTTGAGGCAATGTCTGCCCTGTTATGGATTTTTTCTGTAATGAATCATTTGAAGCGATAAAAATAAATGACTACCAATTGTGCTCGCTGATTGCTCCGTTTGCAGTTGCGCCCTGTACTTGTCAGTCTCTACTGATGTCAATCTAAGATGACTCAACAACCTCGTCTTTGCGTAGTTCGCGAGTCATTGCAAGAAAGACCTAACGGGAGGGCTGGTACTGTTATAGGTACTGTAGTACTGTAATCATCAAGTCGACAATGGTTACACATGTTCTCATGACAAATGCAGAATAAATTCGAAATTTATTCTACTACAGTATAACCCCTCTATATGAATCTCCTCAAAAGGAATAACCCCTGTAAACGAATACATCCATGCTCCACCGATGCTGGTTCCGTGTTTTTGGCCTGTTCAGGGGGGTGCTAGTAATACGAATTCAAGAATACACTTCTAGGATAGGGCCCTAATTTTCACTTATAATTTCAGGTTCTGGCAACCTCCGTATAATAATAGTTTAATCTCCAAATGATCATTCAACCGGATCAGATAGATCCAAAAAAGATCCATTCTAGGCCGCGCATTTCGTAACGACATTTTATTGAATGCCCTTGGTGTTATTCTGCTTGATACAGTGCAATACAGCTCTGTACTGCATTGCATCTAGTCTAGGCGGACGCTTTTTTGAGCTGTGGTGCATCCTGAAGTCGCAATTCTTGAACAACACCGATTTGACAGACAGCATCATGGCCAGAGTTCGTCTCACAATTTCCCAAAAGAAAAAGATACTTCACGAGATCGACAAAAGAAAAGCAGACGGCAGAAACGTGGATCAGACAGCCATTGGACAGTGGGCAGCACACACTTTCAATCTTTCCCATCTTTTGCCGCAGCCGACCATTTCCTAAATAATTGCCAAGAGAGCAGCTCTCTCAACCTCTGCAACTCCGAATCAAAAGCGGCGCGGGCCACTCTTCAATGATCGCCTAGACGAAGGGCTTGCTTTGTGGGTATCTGAGTGTGCAAGCAAGAGTGTTGCTCTTTCAGATCTTGCTATCAAGGAAAAAGCAAATCAGATATTAGGCGAGGTTAACAACGAGCTCGAAGACAGTGAAAAGATTGATATGAAGTTCAGCAACGGCTGGTTGTACAAATTCAAACAAAGACACGGACTTCGACGCATTAAAATGCACGGCGAAAGTGCCTCTGCCGAAACTGTTGTGGCGACGGAAGTACTGCCAGCTCTAAGGGAAAAAACCCGCACATATGCGCATGAAGATATATACAACGCTGACGAGTTCGGACTTCAGTATTGTCTTGCGCTTGATAGCACAATTGCCGCACAGCAGGTAAGCGGAACTAAAAAAGACAAAGCACGCATTATATGTCTTGCGTGCTGTAATGCAACTGGTACGGACAAACTTCGGTTGCGAATCATTGGGGGGGCAGAAAAACCAAGGGCATTTAGAAGAAAGAGCGGAGTAGAATTGGGATTTGACTACAGGTGGAATGCAAAGGCATGGATGACAAAGATACTTTTTAATGAATGGTTAGAGCGTTTTAACACTCATGTGCGACTTAGTGGGAAGACAGTAGTTCTTTTGTTGGACAATTGCTCTGCCCATGGAAAAGATCACGAAGTTGCCGCTTGAAACCTTTCGAACACGCGCGTTATATTTTTGCCTCCGAACACGACATCTTTGATCCAACCGTGTGATGCGGGTATTATTGCTGCCGTCAAATGTCGGTATCGCCGCTTGCAAATTGCAAGTGTTTTGGATTACATTGATATCGGTGAAGGAACATTTACAAGGTCGATGTTTTGCAAGCAATGAGATGGATTTAGAAATGCTGGAATGAACTTCCTGCCGAAGCAATTTATAATTTCTGGAGTCACACTAAACTGGTTGATGGAGATATAGGCAGTGTTGCAGTGGAGGGGGTTGAAAATGAGTTGACGTCATTGCGAGATGACATATCAGATGTGGTACGCACAGTTGATCGTCGGATGCTTGTTGAAACACTTCTTAACAATCCCTCAGAGAACAGTGCAACGGCGGAGGTCACAGATGATGAAATCATTGGGTTTGTTCTTAATGGAATGACAGATACAGGCGAGAATGAAGATATAGAAGGTCAAACCCCTCCAAGTTTGCCTTCCCGTCGGGAGCAGCTGCGCATCCTTGCTACTGCAAGGCTTATTATGGAACAGTATGGAGGCTATGCTCACACTACAGGAGGTATTTCTCGTGTTCAGCGCGAGATAAGGCGTGATCAGCAGGATAGCGCCATTCAGACGAAAATAACGTCGTTTTGGGGCTAGGCTACACGTGTAAAATATTTGAAAAGTGTACCTCTTCGACGGATACACCCCTCACTATGAATATGACTAGATTCCACCGATCCCATTCCTATAGGGGGGTTATACTGTATATGTAGCAAACTGCCGTTTTCGGTAACGGCTCAATCTTTGCCCAGTGTGTCATTCATTACGAACTAAGGTCGCATTTACCGAGTATATCTAATGACGCTTCTGCTACTGCTGTTGATGTACCCTTGAGCGTGAGCGATGATACAGAACACTACAGTACCCTTGGTACTACGATAAATGAAATATCTACTGTGTTCGATATCGACAACCTGCGCTACTCGAGAGCCCACACGATTTGCAAGTCCTGTTCAAATTGCCTTCCACGACCGTCAGGTATGCTCCAAAAGAGGAATGAATGTGTGTCCCAAACTGCTCGTAAAAGCTGCAAGTTCGTCTCAAGCACTAGTGTCTACTGAAACGTTGTCCTCATATGAGGACAGTTTTCGACATATTTTTTCTTGACTTGCACTTTCTCGACAAGAAAGAAAAAGATACCCCCGCCACCGTACAAGACTTCTGCCGTGGGATCAGGAAAACTTTGTGAGAATTGCGTGTTCCTCCTGGTCGTTTTGAGATATGTCTAGAAAAGAAGCTTTTTTACACCACCATAAAACCGCAAGTCAATCTCTAGCTCTACATGCATTCTAACGTTATGTAGGCAAATATGAAAGCAAATACGTTCTTGGCATTGCTTTTGATACGGGAAAGCTGACAATTTGGCAGATCCTTCATAGATCTTCAGAGTTTTCTGAAAGTTTCTATCCCCTGGTACAGTTCACAGGTTCTCGGGTTCTCCCTTGCTCAGGGCCGTTCCTAACGAAGAGTTCACGGTGCCAGTACCCGAGCACCCGGACATTTGGCATGAATGGATTGGTTGAACGGGAGTAAAAGCATTTCCAATTATTTTTCAACCAATACATTCATGCCAAGTTTCAGGGTGCTCGGGTGCTGGCACGCCCTCATAAAAATGATAAAATCACTGTTCTCTGCCAAGATAATCGGTACATGCCAAGAAATGCAAAGCTGTGATGCTGCCAGCTGTTTTCTAAAATTTGTTAAAACGTTAAAATTAATACGGCGGATTGGACTGAACTGTATTGGCACTGTACCAGGCAAGCTTGGAACTGCTCGATGGGTCTCAAGGTCAGAAGGCTTCCCAAGTATACCGATTGCTGACGGTACAACAGGCGTTCCAAAATTGGCTCGCTTTCGTGTATGGACTTCGTCTCTACTGTGAAGCTAGTGTTCGCTGTGCTCAAATAGAAGACTCGGGAAAGTGCAGTTGCTCTCGGACAGCTCTGGTATTTTCAACCCTTTTTCCCAACCCTTTATCCTTTTGAGAGCCTAGTGTACATATCGCAACTACCGAAACTGCACCCGGAACATATAGTGTCGAACATCTCATGTTGCAGACGGGACAACGGTCATATAGCGAAACGGATCCATTTGAAGAGAGACAAGGATACAATGAAGTCCCAGTACCATCATACCCCACACCCCCCCGTATCTAAAAACTATTATTCGAAGAATGTCAAACACTCCCCCATTCTGCAGCAGGTCAGCAGAATTGCTGCATGTACGGTCGCAGCACTTCTCCAACGGCCTTAATCTGATCAACAGTGACACCAGAGAAGGCGAAGCGCACGTACTGCTTCGATTCTCCAACTGTAGGAGTTCCGAAATGAGCACGAGTGCAGAAAGACACACCAGTTTCTCGCAGGACCTTGCTTCTGAACGTCTCAATGTGGCTGATGTTCATGGCCTTCATCGCTTTGGTAACATTCGCCATCATGTAGAACGTGGCCTTCGGAATGATTGCATGGAAGCCAGGGATACTGTTGAGCTCTTCCGCGAGTACATCCCTTCGGACCTCGAGCTCGTTCACCATGTCCACGGTGAATTTCTTCGCTTCCGGATGCTCGAGGGCAGTCACACCAGCCACCTGTACGAAGTGAGTGGTGCAAGCCTCATCGTTGGTGTTAATCTTAGTGACCATGTCGATGAGCCATCTTGGTCCGACGACACCACCCAGGCGCCATCCAGTCATGGCGAAACTCTTGGAGAAGGTATAGCCACAAAGTGTGCGGTCAAACATACCCGGGAGAGAAGCGATATGAATGAAGTCATCCCTGTTGAAGTCGGAGAATGTGATCTGATAGTAAGGATCATCGGAGAAGCAATAGAGGTCCTTCTCGACGCAGAGGTCAGCGATAGCCTCGAGCTCGGCCCTGGTGTGGGCGACGCCCATGGGGTTCTGGAAGTTGTTTACGAAGATAGCCTTGGTCCTAGGAGTGATCTTAGTACGCAGTTCCTGGACGTCGAGAGAGAAGCTTCCATCAGCGGTCTCCTTGTACAGATACGGGACAGGCTTAGTATTCAAAAACTTAGCCATGGATTCATAAATAGGGTACCCCGGGGATGGGAAGAGAACCTCATCGCCTTCATTGCAGACGCACATGATGAACTTTCCAATTCCGGGTTTGCCACCACTCTGGACCGAGACATTCTCGGCGAGATAGCTGAGTCCGAAGACATCGTTGTAGTGGTCGGCAAGGGACTTACGGAGAGATGGAATACCTGCGGCGGGGCAGTAGCCGGTGAAGCCGTCATCAATGGCGTTCTTGCAAGCCTCCTTGACGACAGTCGGGGTGGGGAAGTTCAGGTCACCGATGTGGAAGGGATAGACCTTCCTGCCCGAGGCCTTGATCTTGCCAGCCTCAAGGGCGACGGCATAAGCAGTTTCAGTACCAAGACGGCCGAGGCGGTCGGCGAGCGGGTCACGGTAGTTGGCAACAGAACCCATGGTTGTGGTAGTTAGGATAGAGTGAGGAGGGTGTGGAATGAGTTAAGGTTGAAGAAAAAGGGGTAAAGAAAGGCTAGGACTTGGGATGGTGGTGGTCGACGAAGTAGAGTGCGAGGGCCAATGGGGTTTTTATAGGGATGGGGAAAGGTGGATGTGGGTTGTTATCGAGGTTGGGAATATGCGTGAAATGAAGGAGAGAGAAGCCGAAAGAGGGATGAATGGATGCATATTGAAGTGGCGGTGGTGTGCTGTTAGCCAAGGCTCTCCTGGGGCACAGGAAGCAGCATTGATTTGCACGTACAGGCAACTGCGTTGCGGAGATAGATATTATGCACAGCGGGTGGGCGACGTCCGTCTCACGTGGAATTGTGCGCAAGTTCCATCCGCGGATATTTGCATTCCGCCTCCATGGGGCCGTGTACGGTGGGGGATATTTCACGGTGCGGTGCACAACACGGTGGGGGATATTTCACGGTGCGGTGCACAACACGCCTGTCGGGCAGTATCGTAAGGCGCTGAACGGATGGAAACGCCGCTGGGGAGTGTCTACCACTGGTTGAAAATGAAAATCCAATGGAGAAGCGCCAGGTGGCTGCAAGAACGTCGAGACTTGCGCATACGCCGATGCGGTGCGCACTTGTCAGGTTTGGAGGCGCACATGCAAGTGGAGGATGCAAATTCAGCCAATGGGGGACCGGAGATTTGTTGTGAGGCGCGCGATCCGCCAATTGTAGCGCTATTGGATCACGAGTCTGCTCTGTGGGTGTGATCGGTGCAAGATACAGTAGGTAACGTCGTAAAGGCATGTCCCGCAGGCTCATCCATACGGATGGAAAGATTCAACTGTGGATGAGCCGCAGCTGGAGGCTGTACGGTCAGCCTCCATATGCAACTGGAGGCTCTACGAATGGAACGAAGCCGAAAGTGGAATCACACTCTCGGCCCGAGGTGGTGCACTGTTCCCAATAGCCACACGCCAAGTATATTCGTGCGCGACACGCGTCCGGATCGCGGGAGTGTCTCGCATCAGAGTATGAAAGAATACTGTTTGAACGCAAATCGTGAGGCGAATATGACGCCTCGTAAATGCCGAAGCATTACACTTGCTTGACCCTTTTTAAGCTTTTCATTCACCCTTCTGTTCCCTTATCTCACACCCGCAGATCTCTGCCAGCCGCAATCTTAACCGCCCAATGCCCCTCCCACCTCACCCTTGCTGTGATACTGCACCTCGGAAGCCTAACCTCACGTTTGTCTCCCCGCGCCAGGGCCTAATCCTTACCCTTCTCCATTCGTTCACCCGTTCACTTCCGCTCTCACGCGCCCCACACATTCCCCCCGTCTTCTCCCCATACCAGTCCACCCGGTCCTTACCGTCCGCCCACATCCACAACCACCCGCCAGCCACTCCAGCCATGGTCGCCCCCACCGCCACCGCCGCCGCCGCTGCCGCTTGGCGCGTTGTCGTGACGCGCCGCGTCGCACCCGAGGCCATGCAGATCCTTCGCGACGCGGCGCCGGCGCTGGATCTAGATGTGTGGGACAGCGAGGACCCGATGCCGCGAGACCAACTGCTCGCGCGCCTCTCGGTGGGCGCCGATGCCTTGTATTGCATGCTCACGGACAAGATCGATGCCGCCGTCCTGGACGCGGGCGGCGATCGCCTCAAGATGGTGTCGACCATGTCGGTGGGCTACAACCATATCGACACGTCGGAATGCAAGCGGCGCGGCGTCGTGCTGGGCAACACGCCGGACGTACTCACGGAAACCACCGCCGATACGACCGTCGGGTTGGTGCTGGCGGCGTGTCGCAGGTTCAAGGAGGCGACAGCGTCGGTCGCAGACGGGACGTGGGGCACGTGGAAGCCCAACGGCATGTGTGGGCCGGATGTGTATGGCGCGACCGTGGGGGTGATTGGACTGGGGCGGATTGGGGCGGCCGTGGCGAGAAGGCTCCGGGCGTTTAGTTGTAAGATTTTGTATACTGGGCGTGCCCCGAAGCCGGAGTTTGAAGAGGTGTTGGACGCCAAGTTTGTGAGGTTGGAGGAGCTGCTGGCAGAGGCGGATATTGTGATTCCGTTGTGTCCGTTGAATGAGAGCACGAAAGGGATGTTTGACAAGAGTAAGTTCAGGGCGATGAAGAAGACGGCAGTGTTTATTAACGCGGCTAGGGGGGAGCTGGTGAATCAAGAGGACTTGTGCGAAGCTTTAACTGAGGGGGAGATCTTTGCAGCAGGGTTAGACGTGACGACGCCCGAGCCACTGCCGACGGATAGCCCGCTGATCAAGTGCCCCAATTGCTTCATTTTACCCCATATTGGAAGCGCGAGTAAGGGCACCAGGACGGCCATGGCGACTCTAGCGGCAAAGAATCTGGTGGCGTCATATAAGGGAGAGGAGTTACCGAGTGAGGTCAAGTTGTGAAGGGGAGGCCGGAATAAAGGTAGTGGAGCTTGTGTCATTGTAAACAAAGGCACAAAACGGAGCGACAGACGGAGTGTGATGGAGAGGCATCTGAAGTAGTTATTGATTGTGTCGTGCGCAGCAGGCCGGGAAAGCTGTGGGAGGAAAAGGAGAAAGCAGGTGTTGGGTGCGTCGCGTGCGGCCATTCAGATACGGTGGGTTCAAGGTTGTGGAATGTAGTCAGTATGTTTTATGGCGAGGGCATGGGGTGAGGTGTCCAGAAGGTGTAGTCATAAAACATGAGTGTAGGGTTGCGTGTGAGGAATACCCTTCGAAGGGTCGGTAACGTGGAGGTAAGGTCTAGGCTTTCTCGATGTTAGGGGGTTAGGGGGGTGGAATAAGACAGGGGGCGAAGGAACTGCGGCTTTCCAACTAACATGAGTCTGCTATGGAAGCGGATTGCGTTGGCAGTCAACGTGAGGCGGTGTTAACGTTGGGCGGCATCAGCGATATTTACGATGACGCTTTGGTGCGGGCGCAGTGTGCCCAATGTGGAGGTGGAGCGAGGTGCGGACCAACGGGTATCGTTAGAAAAGTTTAAGAAACAGTGTGTGAGGAGCAGGGTATGCCGCTGAATAGAGTCTGAAAACGGAGTTTATTTTTGTAATAAATAAAGGGGGGCGTTCAGGGGTGGCTGTGTAAAGCATGAAAGTGGGAAGGTATGAGAATGGGTCGGCCTTGATAGGGCGCGACAAACGTTATTTTACGGGTTTGCTTCGTGGCAAGTAATTAGTGGAAAAGCGAGCCTGAGCGGCAATGCTGTCTCGGCATTGGTTATCGCTCAAGCCCCATCCCTCTTCCTCGCAGCACCCATCCCCCGCTTCCGGTTGCCCGGCCATTCCAACGATGCCCTCTCCGCTGCTCAGGCCCATTTCTCCCGCCGCCCCCACCTTCCCCTCCCTCACCGAGCGGCAGTCCCTGCCCCAACCCTTTCTCACACCCACCCAACGAATTCTTCCGCCCGACATCGCAACACCTCGTCACTCCCCTTCCCCCAACGCGGCGCACACTCTGCACTTCATGCTGCCTTCTCTCGACCGCCCCGGTCGCGACGACTCGCACCCGTCGTTGAGTTGAACCCGCGCCACGTCGTTCCATGAAGGGGCTTTTTCAAACCTTTTATAAGAAGCCGAAGCCGCGCAAAATCATAGAGCTTTCCGATGGCGTCTTCATCGCTCTCTACGAGGAGGACACCTTTGTCTCGGATTTGAAGGTCGCTCTACAGCAGGCGTACAAGAAGTATGGCGAAACCCGACGCGCTCTCGTCCTCGACGTCGGTGCCCATGGTCAGGAGCCATGGATGACCGATATCCTCCCCGGCGTCGTCGTTACCACCACCAGCCATCTCGGTCCGTACTATCTCGCCCCGTCCTTGTCCTCCGTCTTTGAGGTTGTCTGTGAAGCCTACCAATGGCTCGCGCAGGGGTTGGAGATGGGCTCCCAAAACATTGTTATCATCATCGCTCGCAACGAGGTCTCCGACCGCTATCGGCCTCTCACCGCCGTTGCCCTTGTCGCTTGCGCCTATCTCACCTACGTCAGTATCTACGAGAACGGTGTCGACGCCCTTGACCATTTCATGAATCTCGTCAAGAAGTCAGGGATGTGCTCAGAGCGTCAAATTGAGCAGGACATCACAAGCGTTCCCACCTTGTACCAATATTTACGATTCTTCACGATGCTGCGAATCCGCCCCGTTCTCCCCAACAACCGCCCCATGCAAATAGCAAAGATTCTCGTCCAGGGAACTGTCAAGATTGACGACCAGCCCTGGAATCCTATTGTACGCATATTTCAAGCAGGTCGGAACCAGACCAAAGAGTGCACCACTATTATGCAAGAGGACAATGGTCTGGGAAATGATGCCTTGATAGGTACAGGTTATGCCTCATTCGTCACCAACGAGGTCATTTCGGGCGATATCGTTCTTGTATTCGAGCACTGGGTCCCTATTTCCGACGACACCAAACCACTTTTTACTATTGCAGGTCACACAGGCTTCCTTCAACCTCCGTATCACCGCGTGCGTTTCCAAGATGTCGAAATGGCCCCAGCCCTCGCGAGTAAGTTTGAGACAATTGATGACTTCGGTGTCGACCTATTCTTCGAATACCTGGATCCACCTGAGGGTGTCTCCATAGACGACTTTTCCGACCAAGCTCTGCAGAGATATGAAGATATGTATGGCGTGGAAGATGCAGACTTGCTTGGGCGTGCCGCTGATCTCAACGAGATTGTTCAAGAGATAGTCACTCGGGCACCCAAAGTCGCTCCAAAATCAATGAAAGCTATAATGCAACCGCAGGTATCAGCGCGCACTCAAAGCGGAGACATCTTTGAAGAAATGAAACAGAAAAATGCCGAACGCGAGAAGAGAATACAAGAGAACCAGAAAATACTCCGCGGAAGTGACACGCAGCGGAAGGCCAAGTTGCTTCAAGAAACCTTTGATTGTGACTTCGAGGAAGACACAGTTGACGACTTCATAGAGGTGTTCAAGCGATACAAGGAAGAGATTGGTATAGAACAGCCGGGAGACAGATCTTCACGACAGAAGACAGCGAAGGAAGTTCTTGCCAAAACCTTTATGGCAAGAAGGACATCTGATCAGCATCAGCTGGAATTCTCTTCTGAAGAAGACGGGTTTGGTGATATTGCACGTTTCATTGATGAAGAGGAACTTGACGAAATGGATGTGTTAAGACACACCAGCTCCCACGCGCAGAATAGCGATGAGGAACAGGGCGAATATGATGGAAACGAAAGCGCGAGCAGCGAGGAGAAACAGGCAGACATGCTCAAGAATGCTGTCCAGGTCTTGTTAAGAGGGGTGAAGCAGACTGGACGAACAGGCCGGTTCAGGGCGGATGACTTTTTAGCCAAGAGTACTGAAAATGCCATTGACGATTCAGATATTCTTTCACAGTTCTCGCAGATCACTGAGGCCCTTCAAGCTCTTGTGGTTGAGTCCAAAGACGCTGGGACTAATGGGACCGGTCGCAAGTTCTTCTCGACGCAAGAGGTCGTTGATAAGGTGAAGGTTATGCGACATGAAGCAGATCCGTCAGCTTCACAGAAACCCCCACCACCTCCAGGCATAGCAGCACTTAAAAAACCATCGGGTGCTTTGGGCGCAGCGCCACCACCACCGCCGCCAGCCTCTGGTTTACCGGGACTAAAACCTGCAGGTGGACAAGGGTCTGTAGGACCTCCGCCTCCGCCGCCCCCGCCGCCGCCCCGCCCTCCTAGCGGTGCAGGAAGCACAGGTACTGGAAAAGGACCTCCTCCTCCTCCGCCTCCACCACCAAGTTTCGGCGGTGCAAAATCGGCCTTACCTGTTGCACCACCTCCACCCCCGAGTATGAAACCAGGTGGTGCACCGCCACCTCCGCCGCCTCCTATGGGCGGCCTTAGAAAGCCTGCTCCTGCCCCACCACCGATGGGCAAGTTACGGCCTCCAAGTAAAGCGCCAGGCCTACTACCTCCAAAAGGACCTTTGGGGCCACCGGGCGCTCCTGGGGCTCCTTCAACGGGTCCTCCATCAGTCATAACTCCGAAGAGAAATGATACTAAACGGCTAAACTGGAACACTATTTCAAATATGAAGGTGAACAAGACACTTTATGCGAAAAAGGAATTCCTGGATGCAGTTTCCCTGGATGACGAAACTCAAAAGGAGCTTCTTGAGAAATTCAGCAGTCGACCACCACCTAAAGTTTTCACAGACTCGGATGGTGACAAGAGCAAGGACGACACAAAGGGTCCGGTGACTGCAGGTATTTTAGATCAAAAACGAATGACAAATACGCTAATCATGCTGCGCAAGTTCAAGTGTGCACCGAAGGCGATCACGCTGGCAGTCGGAAAACTTGACCCTTTGGGTGAACAACTATCATTCGAGAATGTCAATGCGCTTTGTGCGAACGAATTCAAATCTGAGGAGCTTGAAATGGCGAAGAATTTCGCTGCTCCAGAGGAAGAAGTTGAAAAGCTGAACCCCGCCGAAAATTTCGCGTACCACGTTGCGCGAGTACCGCGGTGGACAATGAAAGTTCGCACGATGCTGACAATGAGGACAGCAACTGAAGTTGAAGGGGAAATCAAGACGTCATTGGAAACAGTGATTACCGCTTCGAAGGAAGTCTTACAGTCAAAACGCTTTGAGAAAGTGTTGGCCGCGATTCTGGCCATCGGTAATTTCTTAAACGCTGGAACAGCGAAGGGATCAGCCCGCGGCTTCAGACTTGAAATCCTCCCGAAGCTGTCTGAAACGAAGGGACGGGACCGAGGCTTCAATCTACTTCACTATATAACTGACTTGCTTGAAAAGAAGGATCCTGATGCGTTGTTGTTTCCGGAGGATATGAAGACGGTCGCCAAGGCGAAGCGAATATCAAAGGAAGACGTTGGAAGGGAGCTTTCCGCTTTTCAACGAGCCGTTGCCGTGATGGGCCGTGAGATTACAGCGATGGTAAAAGAGCAGGAGATGGATGGCGGGGACCCCAATGTTTCTCTTCCGAGCACACCACCACCGCCAAAAACCTCTCGTCGTTCGTCAAATCTATCCGAATCGATGTTGTCAGCCCCTGCTCTATCCCCAAACTCACAACGGGAGAAGGATCCAGAGACTGTGGCTAACGAGGAGGACGCCGTGGACAGTACGCCTAAGAAGGGCACCTCTCAACGGACGGAGAATAACGCCCTGGCCGTAGCAAAAGGAATGTACACAAAGGCTGAGACGGCAGTGGCAGAATTGCAAACACTACAAGAAGAAATGCTGCGAAAGTTTTCCAATTTGGCGGTGCATCTTGGAGATGAACCCAAGTCAGCAAAAACAGAGGACTTCTTCGGGACGTTGTTCAACTTTATCAATTCTTTCGAACAGAGTGTCAAAGATAACAGAGAACGGATAGAAGAGACCGCCCGGAAAGAACGTATCGCAACACGTCACGCTGAAGATAGCGAAAGACGACGCTTACGGTCAGCCGAAAAGGCAAAGCAAGCTCACACGGAGTCCCCAGATTTGAGCCCCGTGGCCGTCTCACTTGAAAATAAGGGAGGCATGGAAATGGCTCTATCGCGGAATTCTTCCTCACCAACTGCTAACTCAAGCGAACCTAACCAAGCAATCACGCCCCCACAATAAATATAAATCTCCTTTTCGAAGAGAAGAGTATCATTTGCGTGAGAAATACTAGGGCTCAGCGCTCGGTAATATTCGTGTTTCAAGCTGTCGTCGAATTCTCAGAGATCTTTCGAATAGGTCTGCATCAAGCCCAGTCATGTCTCGACAAAGCCTAGCTTTGAGTATGAACTAAGAAAAGAGGGTAGACATTCACGTTAGTAGACACAGATGAGCGCGATGCCGGTTGACAGCAAGACGCGGTTCAAATGACAAACCTTGCCGTTGTCTTTTTCTAGTTCCCCAAGAAACTGAAGCAGCTTCCCCGGACGCAACTGTCCAAATTCTCCTAGCATAGATGCGTCGATGCGCAATTCTGCTCCATGATATTCCACTGTTAGTCTGCTTCTGAGGGCATCCAAACCTTTCACCCTGTATGCAATAAGAGCGGTATTCGCATGAATCAGTGAAAACGGGTCGTAAAGTTTCGTTTCAAAAATTAGAATCTGGAGTCAAACGGCTGCAAACATCTGACTCAACAGGGCACGGACTGCTTATTACCTTCCCAGAATACGCACAGCATCGCCGTGAATATCGTCTGGGGCCCAGGACCCGAGCTCAGAGATGTGCATTATCCTGCCGCTCTTGATAGGCGGCATGTCTCTGGCGGCGGCCATTTTGATGCTAGGCGAGACTTATGTCATTCAATGCGTTTCGTACTGCTGTAGCTCAAGGTGGTTCCCGTTTACAAGTCTGTGGGAAGTTTTGACGCTTTTCTTGGCAACCAGTGCGTGTGTATCGCAAGATCATGATCTACGACATCTGTGAGATACCCAGAGGCAGGGCGGGACCAGTACTTGGACACGTGAGTTTTTTGTTGCCCTTTTCCTCAAAAATTTCGCTTGATCTTTTCCGTATCATACCCTGTTGACATCCACGTAACAGAGTCTTCTGAAGCATGCTGCACGCGTAGTACGGGGGAAGGTACAGGCTGGTGCTTATTGAACACTGCTTAAGGTGCCCCGGAAATTATTTGTCCCTGACCTCACCCCTCCGTCTCTCCAAGCATTTGGGCATCTGCCGATTTACTCGGAAACCGGAAGGCCATCAAGCGCAACTCTAGATTGGAATTGCGTGTAGCCGCTGTTGCGTCTTAGTATTGACACCACCCACTTTTCGATTGAAACAGGAAGCACTACCTGTACTCTTCGCGAATCGGTAGCCTCTCAACTCGATCCAAGCAATCTCAATCGACTGTCTCAGCAGTGCAAGTTGTGATGGAGCGCTTCACCAAAATTGGAACAGAGTATAATGCCCATGAGAATGGTGTATGGGGATTAGCGGCATGGAACTCCGGCGATCGGGATGCAATCGGAGATTTTGTAACAGGCGGATGCGATGGCAAACTAAAGGCATGGCGCTTCAAGACGAAAACAGAGCTTACCAACGACGCGGAAAGTGACACAGAAGATGCGAAGAACTCCGGGCCCTTCAAACAGCTTGCGACCTTTTCAGGGCATGCTCTCCCAGTGGTAAAACTAGCCCTCGCGGATGACGGAGCGACGGCAGCTTCGACATCACTGGATGGCACGGTGAAGATATGGAATCTTTCAATGCACGATATCGACCCGAAGACAATCCAGCGAACGGGAATGGCCGAGGTATGGGACGTTGCTATCTCGCGGGATGGCAAAGTTGTCATTACTGGCGGCGCTAACGGGGCCGTACAAGTCATTGACACTTCGATTGGGCAGGTAGACGAGACATTTTCAATCGGAAAACAGCAGGAGTCGAAGGATTCATTGCGGAGAGAGAATCCGATGGTCATGTCTGTGGCGCTCAGCGAAGACGAAAAGCTGATCGCAGCAGGAGGGCATGATGGATCCGTGACAATCTTGGACGTGGAAACGGGAAATATCGTGAAGGGGGATATGGCCAAACACGGGGGGCCAGTGCGATCGATATCATTTTTGAAGAATAACTCGCGGCTCTTGCTCACGGCTTCGGATGACCAGTTGCTGAACATCTATGACTTAGACTCTGGGCATGTCGCAAAGACATGTCGGGGGCATGAAGGGTTGGTCCTGAGTGCGGCCGGGTCAGATGATTCGGAGTTTATTGTGAGCGGGGGGAGTGATAGGACTGTTAATATTTGGGATCGGCGGATGGGGGAAACTTTGTATAGCTGCAAGGGACACCGAGATTCGGTTTGGGGAACGACGTTTGCAATGAAGGGGATGAAGACAGTAGCGGTTTCTGATGATGGGTCTATTAGCGCTATAGATTGCGGCAACGCAGAAAAAACGTCTGCATAGCGGCAAGGTTTGATCAAAGCGAAATTCAGAGGCACGGAGGGAAGTTCGGTGAGGCGCTAGCACCGAACGCGGACTTCAGCATAACGAAGCTGGGAAGGTAATGTGTAATAAGATATCGGGATGTGTCGACTAGACGATTCAACTTTAGTGTACAACCCCGTGGAGAAGGTGGCAAAGGGCAAGGTGAGGAGATGGGCTTATGGAACTAGCATGCTAATAAATGAGGAACTGGTATGACGCCTCGGGCGTAGAAGAAAGCACGGTTTACAAGATTGTTGTACAAATACAGAAGATGTATACAGGTAGACCAGGTGGAGCGATGACCGAAAAAGGAGAGCATGAAGGTGGCGTCCTGGTGTGAACAAAAATTGCGAAAGACATGTGTGCAGGACGCAAGACTATTGTATGAGACAGCCGGGGTTGGGATTAGTCTCAGGTGGGGGCAAGTCGGGTGTTTTAATGTCCTCTTCCTCTTCGTCCTCTTCAGTGTGGGTTGGGATAACATGACTGTTGCGGAGGTTTTGCTGAATCATGCAGAGCACGGAGTCAAAGGCCTCGTTAACGTTTTGCGACGTAAAGGCCGAAGTCTCGAGGTATGGGATACCCTCGTTGCTCGCAAATTTGGCGGCTTCTTGGGATGGAACCTGGCGTTGGTGCGCGATATCAATCTGATTGCCCACGAGCACCCGTGGCACTTCGGACGTGCCGACGCGTTCTGTGACATTGAGGGTGACGAGCAACTTCTCATTGACTTGCTTGATGACCTCGTAGGAGCTCTCGTCTCTTACCGAAAACACAAGCACATAGGCATCAACGCCGGTGGTATAGCGCATGCCGAATTCGGAGTTCTCATCCTGCCCGTCTGTGTCGAGGATGCTGACATCATATTGGACGCTGTTGACAACGGGCCGCCATTGATACATGTCCTGAAATGTGAGCATATAATTGGGCTCGAAGCGGTTCTGGGCGACGCGGATGGAGAGCGCGGACTTGCCGACTCCTCGAGCTCCGAGGACTGCGATGCGCTTGAAGACGTAGAAGGGCTCGTCGTCGGGGTCAGGGGTAGAGGGGGCGAGTAGGTCGGAGGGGGCGGGGGCGGGGGCCAGTGCCGGGGGAGCGGGGGCGGGCGGTCTAGCCGTTGGGTGCTCGGCGTGGACGGACATGGGAGAAGGGGAGGGGGGAAAGGGAGATGTAGAAGAGAGGGAGAAGCTGGGGCGCGTGGGCAGAGGTATGTTGCACGGGCCGTCTTGAAATGTAGGCGCTCGTGATCCGGATCAAAAACTGAGGAAACGGATCGGCCCGGATGCGACCAACGTAATTCTGGTTGGCTGCCTTTCAACAGTCCGCCGAGCGGCGCCTTCGCCTTTCCGCACGGCCCCCTAGACCATTCCTCTTCGCGCCTCTGTCGTCTGACTGTCCTGTCCTTCCCATCCACCAAACCCCTTCTCTCCTCCTTCTCCGGCGCTCCCATTTCTCTCCGTTCACGCGCCTAGGCGCACCCACACCCAACTATGAGTCCGAATCCAGCTGGCTCGACCGCTCTCCCCCCGAAGGAGGCCAACCTCTTCAAGGCCGTCGTCCGTCTTTACGAAACCAAGCAGCTCAAGAAGGCCCTCAAGTCTGCGGATTCAATTCTCAAGCGCTTCCCACACCATGGCGAGACCCTCGCCATGAAGGGTCTGACCCTCAACGCCCTCGACAAGAAACCAGAAGCCACTGATCTTGTCCGTCGCGGTCTGCGCATGGACATGCGCTCCCATATATGCTGGCATGTGTACGGACTGCTCTACCGCTCCGACCGCGACTATCGCGAGGCTGCAAAGGCCTATCTGAACGCACTCAAGTTCGACAAGGATAATCAGCAGATTCTTCGTGATCTCGCCCTTTTGCAAATTCAAATTCGCGATTATGAGGGTCTTGAGGATACAAGGAGGACTCTGCTCACTGTCAGACCGAGCCAGAGACATAACTGGATCGGCTTTGCACTATCATTTCATCTTCTCGATAATTATTCCATGGCTGTCTCCGTCTTGGATACCTATCGCGAAACGCTTAAGCAGAGCAATGACCCTGAAGATAGATACGAAGCCTCTGAGCTGCTTTTGTACAAAGCATTCGTTCTCGAGGAGAGCGGCGAGCACGCCGCTGCGCTTCAACATATTGCAGACTGCGGCCCGAAGCTCGTCGATAAGCTTGCACTGCGCGAAACAAAGGCGAGAATACTCGGTGCTCTAGGTCGCTTCGATGAAGCCGCTGAGGAACTCGTCGCCCTGCTCAGAATTAATCCGGACAATCGTATTTATCAGAGAGGATTGCAGAGTTTCAGAATTTGTTCAGCGAATGAAAAACAGCCTAAGGAGCCCAATGGAGTCATGTCGTATGAGCGGCCGGTAGCTGAAGTGCCCTCACATTTTGCCGATCCCGACCTTGATTATGGACTGCGCAAGCTCGCCGTTATCGAGAAGCAAACCATCGGTGATTTGGCCCCTATTTCCGATGATAAGAGCATTACTATTGCCCTCAAGGTCTGCAACGAGCTAAGCGAGCAGTTTCCGAGAAGTCGCACCGCTCAACGAATTGCTCTTGATATATTGCCGTCCGCCGAACACCCAGAGTTTATCCCGAGAGTCGATGCATACGTGCGCAAGTTTTTGAGAAAAGGAGTATCGTCGCTGTTTTCGGATATGCGACCATTATATAGCAATCCAACCAAGGCAGCGGCCCTCGGCAAGTTATTTGAGAATTTCCGACAGTCTCTTGAAAGTGACGCCGACGGAGATCTGCCTGCTCTAACACTGATGCCGGGTAAGACAGAGGGTGACCATTCTACGGCCTCCAAGCAGAATGGAAGTGACGGAAATGCCCCCACCCCAGTTTTGTTGTGGGTACTTCACTTTCTGGCGCAGCACTACGATTGCCTTAGACAATATGATCGCGCCTTGGATACCATCGAAAAGGCCATTGAGCTCAGCCCTGCCACAGTTGAATGCTATCTGGTTAAAGCGAAAATTCTTAAACACTGTGGAGATCCCAAAAAAGCGGTGGATGTGTGTGATGAAGCCAGAAAGTTGGATCTCGCCGATCGATATCTCAACACAAAGTGCTCAGAGTACGCGCTGCAAGCAAACATGGTGCCCGAAGCCGAGGCGTGGGTGGCACTATTCACCAGGGATGCAGATTCAGGAGGTATACAGGCTTTGTACGACATGCAATGCATGTGGTTTGAACTGGGCGCAGCAGAGTCGTACCTAAGACGAGGGCAACTGTCTCAAGCTCTGAAACACTTCACAGCCGTCGAGCGCCACTTTGCAGATATGGTAGAAGACCAGTTCGATTTCCATTCGTACTGCATACGCAAAGTAACGCTGCGAGCGTACGTGCGCCTGCTGCGGTTTGAAGACCATATTCGCAATCATCCGTACTATTCCCGGGCGGCCTCTGGTATTGCGCAATGTCTGCTTCGCCTCTATGATTTGCCGGAGCGTGAGCGGAATATGTTAACGGGCGAGCATGCTGACATAGAAGGCTTTGCAGAGATGACAGACGCGCAGCGGAAAAAGGCTATTTCTAAACGTAAGAAACAGCTTGCGCGTCAAAGACAGACTCAACACGGGACGTCAGGAAGCAAGGGATCTGGGAAACATCCCACCAATCCGGGGAGACCAACTGCAAACGGGGTTGCGAAGAACCAGGGCTCTGCGAAGGAGGCGTCAGGAAGGGGCTCTGGTGCGAGTGAGAACAAGGCGAAGGCAAACTCTGGGTGGATGGAACTTGATCCTTCAGGTTCTGATCATGTGAAGGATTTGTTGAAGAAGAGCGGGGAGTCAGATCCGATTTTGGAGGAGGCGACGAGAATCGTTCGGGAGCTTGAGCGAAATTTGAGCGACCGATTACAAACTCAGGTTATCTCTTTTGAGCTTGCAATTCGAAAACGGAAGTACCTACAGGCGCTCCGTGCCGTCAGAAGAGCGCAGCGAATGTATCCGGAAGATGCGAAAACTCTAGAAATTTCGGTGAAGCTTGCTCATGAGATAGCGAAGAGCAATGCTCGAGAGTCATTCTCTGAAGTTGTGAAGAGCGTATACGACTGCGAGGGTGACATTCTGGGGGGCAAAAAACCAACAGAGTTCATCGAAAATTATGTGCAAAAGAACAGGTCGTATGCCGAAAGGCGAGTAGGGGCTGCGCGCTGCAAACTGTGGCTAGCTAAGAATGGAGAAAAGGGCGTGGGGTCACTAGAGGAGATTTGCAAGTCCCTGACAAAAGCCATCGACGAATGCGAGGTTGACGGGGCACTTGTGAACTTTTTGAGTGCAGACTTTATGCGAGACTTGCTGATCGAACTGAAACGATCCGGCATCGATGCTAAGTGGTTCTCTCTTGTGGTTGAGAGCTGTCGTGCAAAATATCCCAGATCTAGTTGGTTTTGATCGCGAAGACGCTTTGATGATGAGTTTGTGTGGGATATATGGGGGACAAATAGCATGAGCCAGGCTGAAGCGGCTGATACAAGCTTTGGGAAGGTAGTGAACTGAGTTTTTAAATTTCCGGAGCGAAGGGTGCTGTCGCTTCCTCTGGCGGTCAAGGTAGCCTTTTGTGTATTAATTGGATTGTCGTCTGCGAAGAAGAAGCTGACTTCTGATCCGTTGGAGCCACGCGGATCAGCGTATTTATTTTGGTTGAATGCGGAGAACTAGAAAATGAGGGTGCCCTCGGCCAAGTAAAACAGAGAAGTGAAGGGCCTTTGCGCTGCAGGAGGGTTCTGGTTAAAGGAGGCCGAGGACGTCAACAATGGAATTGGCAAGGCTAACCCTTCCATGCAGGTCTTACGATGACATCCGCAAGATGCTCCGCGAACTCCTCCCCTTGATTCCCCTTCCATTGGTTGACACTGTCTACAGAACGTCACGAGCGACAGAGCATGGATGGCTTATTCACGCATTTTAATTCCCGTTAAAGCATGGGAGCTTGAAGCGGAATGGCACCGGAGTCTCATCGAACAGTCACTTGCAAAATCGAGACTGGATGTGGAGTAGCCGCTGGCTGTACCAATCATGTACGTCATGGAAACATTAATACTTCATGCAACCTGTTTGTAGGAGTGTAGACGTTGCGCACGGAACCCCACCGTAGGTACTGCATTGCATTCGTTGGAGTGTGGTGATCTGGCGTGAGGGTTGTCGGTCGAGGCTGAGATGCGGGCGAGAATATCTCCACATCTCGAACCTTGTGACGCATTGGCGGGAGCAACGACGCTCTATATTTTTTTGTCAGATTGCATGTCGAAGGGAACATAGATGCTCTCTATTATTAGGATTGCCTTTTGTCAGTACTTGTACAGGCTGCCGATCTCCGCCTCGACTCAAGAGACATAATGCTGTGCTATCTTCATGAAGAGTACGTGCCCCGTTGGGCTACGGTCCAGTCGCTGTAGGATGGACCGAAGACTCTTTGTCACTGTACGATTGTCGGATGGGCCCTCGAGGCGTGATTGGATATGTCCATGGTATGAGGCTATCGAGGGCCTATGATAGAGCAGTGGTGAGGAGAGTTGACCTCTCCAAGCGCAAGCAAAAGATTCGGCACAAGCCGGGTGGATGCTCCTCCTCCCACCATTGTTTATTGCGGAGCACTATCCTTTAAGTATGCGGATTACACGACCGTTCCGTAGAGTAAATGCAAGGACACATATGAATTGATAATACGCAATGGGCACTACAGACGTAAGGGCAATGTAGGTCCGACTAAGTGTATTCACGTCGAGCATGATTCACAACGGTACTGTAGCAGATGACGGAAGTAATTGAGAGAGTTTTAGGATGCGCCATAAATGTACTGTATACAGTAGTGGGAAAATGTGGACTTTTGACAATTTAGGTCAGATGGATGAGTGTTCTGGTTTCCCGCGGAAAATGGTTTACTACAGGATGAGAGCCGAGTTTTGCGTTAAACATCTCGCATGTAAATGAACAACTCCAAGGCAGGATGCACTGTACAGAAGAGAAACTGAAAAAAGATTTTATTGGGGCCAACGGTATATACCAATGCAAACGTTAATTTCGACGACTCCTGAAAAACGATCCCATTAATTAGTTCAGTGCAGTATCTATCCACTCTTCCACTCTTCCACTCTTCCACTCTTTCACCTTGGGTGCTCCTACACCGTCGCCGGCGTCAACAACAGCGATTCATGTCTTGGAGGACCGATCCTAGGGAATGCTTCTCGCCGCCATGTCGCCTGTCTGTTCAAGCATCTCAAGCAGAACAACGAGAAATACCTTCACGGTCTAGACTCAGTTGTCTAAGGCGTCGGAAAACGGCAAGTAAAGATACAGCTTCGTCTAGCTCTACTTCAGTCAATAGTTCCGAAAGCGCCTGCGAGTAGTGACACAACGTTTCATAGCACCCCCACGAGACATTCACATGCAACAAACACAAAGGAATAGAATACATGCATCCCTGCCATCTGTCCACTAGGGAATCAAGCGGACGATCTTCGAGCCCTTCACACACACGTTGGAGGGCTTCTTTTGCAAATCCTGCACCGAAGCAGAGGCAGCCTCAGGATACTGAGTCCGTTCATGTTTGTGGACGGAGTGCTGCTGCAACACCCGCTTCAGACCGGGATGCACGGGGCGAGCAGGAAGAGATGAGGACTGGCGATGGGGATGGGGGAAGCCGCAGAGAGGGCAAGTGGGAGATTGAGGTTGAGTGAAAGTCATGCTGATGCGATGGTTGTGAACAGGAAGCGAAATGTGGGTGGGAAGCGGGGGAGAGGAGGGGGATGCGTTAAATATTCAAGGTCTGGTAGACACGCACGCTTGATGCAGACTTTGGTGGGGTGCTCCCTTGTCGTGTATGCGTGCAGGGAGTGGGATGGCACCATTGGGGGTAAGCGACGCGAGAAAGTGAAGCATGCGGGACGAGGCTTGGACACGCTGGAGGTGCGTACGTGTTACGGCGGAAGGGGAGGGAGGGTGAACTTAAACTGCGAGGTAATTTGCTGGATTGTCGGACACGATTGTTAGTACAATGTACCTTCTGGTAAAAAACTGTAAGCTGCATTAGTTGCATCTTCTGGAGCTGGAGAGGAGACGGAAGCCGAGCCCCAAGTTGGGGCAAGTGGGCGTGGTGCGTCACGCATGGGAGAATATGACGACGGAAGCGGGAAGGCGACGGTGGGAGAGTACGTCTTCTTTGCGCAATTTTCAGAACTTCTGCGATGTCGCACTCGTCTTGTCTTGAGAAAGCTTTTTCACAGACAGTTAGCTGGCGTGGAGGGGTTTCGGGGTGGTTCTTTATCGATTTGTTTGTCGTAGATTGGATAAACAAAAAAACTCTGCGTTGTAAGTAGGAAGGCCAATGTCTGCGGAGGGCGTTCTGTATATACAGTATATATATATATATGGGTTTTCGACCTTGGCGCTGGCCAACGGGAGGTCAAGGCTATAAGTCGATCGCCTATTGGACGCTATTGTCGCACGGCGGCGCAACGATTGACGTACCAGGCGGCGGCTGACACGTCGGTGAGCCATCGCCGGGGCCCCTTCCCAGAATGCCCGTGTTGCATGGACAACAAAGCATTCTTCTTACCAAAGATGGCACTCTGGGTTAAGTTTAAGAGCGAAAACGTTTTTTTTTTTTTTCGTTGCTGTGCAGCTGGTAGAAAGAAGAACGTGGCGTAAGGCGCCCTGCCAGAGAGATAGAAACCAGAACTTTTGGCAGGAGGGAGGCGGCAGTCCATCAGGATCGGATAGAGGATAGTGTACCTTCGTCGAGGATAAGCATCCTGTTCAGAGCCGTTTCGTAAGGGATTAACGACAAATGTGCGCGAGTCCGTTTTGCCCTTTATGACGTCTAGGAGGGGTGAGACCCTCTTGACAGGAGGCAAACTTCTCCGTTTGTGGAGTTCTCACAGAGAAAATATTTTAAGAAGTACTGCACGTTCTTGGTCCAATTTCTTCAGTTGCTCTCTGTGCTCCCATAAGGTGTCGACCAACTATTCGTCGGAAATTTGCGATATTCGGGCTTCTTGAAGGAGACAGGTGCAGTACATGTCCTTGAGCCTATTTTTGAAGAGAACGAAAGATCGCACAGAGTCGGTATGAAACTGGATTGTTACATGCTCTCACCTTTCACCCTGCCGTTTGCAAAGCCTTGCGCGATGGGGACACCCCGCCGTGCAAATCAAAAGTCTTCGTCCATTTTCGTACTAAGTACCATAAACTGTATCCTTATCTTTGATCTGCATTTTAAGTCGTCGTAACAGCCAATCGCTAAGCCTTCCTCTCACTTTCTATGCCCAACATCGACCAAAAACAAACAATACTGTCCCGTGCGATATAGCTACCCAAGTGCAACAGAATCCCCTCTCATTCCCTTCGATGTTCAGCAAGCAATCTGCAGTCCTCATCCCAGCCTATTGCATGGTCTATATACGCGTAGAATGTACGGCGTACACAGGAGGAAACCTATAGTTCTCCCTTCCTTACATTGCAAGACGTTCTACTTTTTTTTTACAGATTTTGCTGGACTTTTTATATGTTACCCTTCCAACAGACGTACTGCACTCTCTGGACCGAGACGAAAAGATAGCGTGGTCGATCATCCGCAAGCGGCAATCATCACACGAACCAGCCGTTTGGCAAGATGAAGAGACCGATATATAGATGAAGGTCTCAGGCATGTCACATCGACTCGCTGACCTCGCCTACGTTCCATTCATTGAGATTGCATGAGAAACTCTTTGGAATCTGAAACTTTGACATGAACGCAGCACTTTCTCGCTCTACAACATGTAACACAGCGGTGAACTCCTATTCAAATTTTCTTCTTGGTTTGGACAGCATTTACAGCCGGTTTCAAAACGTGACAACTGCCGCATACATTTCGTAGATGTCTATTTCTTTTCAACTTTGATGGGGACGGTTTCTATTATTCTTCGGTAGAATGACTCGTCTCAAAACTTTCTAAATTTAGAACCGAATACGGTAGAGAGCCCTCACCGCAATGATTCTGTGCCACCGGGATAGAATTAGCTTAAATAATAATACTTACAGTAAGGCGACTTTTTCTTTTGAACACCTTTATATGCATCAACAGGTTGATTTTCGCGAGGATTGACAGGCACTTGCTTTACCAGCCTTCTGGTTTCAAAAAACACAAGCCAAATCGCGCCTTGGGTTGTTCAGAGAAAACAAAATAAATTGTGTCCTCATATGAGGACTAACAGTCTGATAAGCACTAGTGTCTATTCGACAAGTGTCCCTCCCCATATGAGGACAGCCGCCTCATATGAGTACAGTTGTTACAAGTTGTGTTTCACGTGTACACGTGTACACGTCTAGAAGGTCCAGCAATGTCGGCGGCAGGGCAAGGGCAGGGCAGCCCAAAAGGTTTGATGCAAGTGCGAGGGATAGGGCAGTTTGAAGGCCGGTTCGCAAAGGGTGTTGCATAGCATAGATTTTAAACGGTATTTGCGACCGTTGCGCATACCGACACAAGCAGTGTCGGTATCATTGTAAGTTGCCACACGCAGTGGCTAGTTCAAAAGCAATGGACTAATAAGAGGGAGATAGAAATCAAGGCGTAGAGAGAGGCAGGAAAATTTAGAGAGCGGTAGCGACGCTCAGGCTGATTGTGCCTTCCCACCGTGTTCGTAGAGTAGTGTTCTCCTTCACCACTGCAGCACATCCAAGGATGTCTTCATCCATGGATCTGACAGTTATGGGCCCAGAAGGAGAACCTACTCCGAGCAGTCTATATGCAGCACCTGTTCTCACAGCAAAAACTGACAAGTTCATTTGGAGGCAAGCAGTACGTACATGGACTCAGCGCATACGTTCGTTCGCGAAAGGAGGCGATAACAAGGCCAAAGGCATGGCAAATAGTCTTGGAATAATGCTTTATTCTGCAATGCACTTCTCCTTTGTTCAAGATATTGATCGCGCTGTCGCAGCCGGCCAACTCCAAATGGTTTGTGAAGATGACGATGTGAACACACTTGACCAGAAAAAGGTTGTCGAGAAAATCATAGACTTAGTCGCTAAAGATTCTGTCACTGACAGAATTCGACGGCTGGTTAAGATGAGGCAAGATGTCCACAGTTGCAAACGCAAAAATTCTGACTCCTATTCTGACTTTGCTGAACGCTTTCGAGGAAGCGCACAGACGTATCTAAATCATTGCCATACCGACAATGTCACACAGGACAGTCAAAACTTTGCTATGATGCTACTAGTTGTAGTATAACGACCAGTGTGCGCGCGGGGAGGTTATTAACCGTGCGGCCGTGCACGGTGCACACGTGGGCGGGTGTGCCCACGTGTAGGGAGCGCTCGCGTTGACTGACCGGCCGTGGCGTGGCGCACGTGTACAGTAGCACACATGTCGTCAGTGCGGTAGTCTACGCGTGTTACGAGTGCGCGTTGGCACACGTGTCGTCCGTGCCGTAGTCTGTAAGCAACACGCGTGTACAGTAGTGCACACGTGTAGTAGCAGCGTCCGTGCGGTAGTAGTAATTATGGCGCTAGCTTTTTAATTGTGTACAGTACCCGGCACGCACTAGGCGGCAGGTACTGTACTACTGTATACTGGGACAGGTGTCCGAGGCGTCCCTCTGAGGGGTTAAGACCTGACACCCGTCCCCACCAGTAAACTGGGGCAAGCTCGCCCCCGTCCCTTTCGCGCCTA